ATCCCACTCCAAACACCCCACCCCAACGAAACCATATTACAACACACACCCAATTCCATCGAAACCATCCTAATCCACACATCCCATCCCAACTTAACCATCCTACTCCACACACCCCATCCCAATGAAATCATCTTACTCCACACATCCCATCCCACGAAGCCATCTTACTTTACACACCCCACCCCAACAAAACCATATTACATTACACACACCGTCTATTCTATCAAAACTATCTTAACCCACAATATTCTAGATATGACAACCCATCGCATCTAAACCTAAAATATTCTGTGTTACTAACCCATCTAAAACGTGTTCGCTTCGTTATTCTAGTTATTCTAAGTACATATACATCTCTCATCTTCTGCAAACCTTGCTTTTTGAAACCCATCATAAATCAACATACTTCTAAGTTCACTTACTCATAAAAGTCACTCATCTTATATTTACATGTAACCTACTCTAAGACTCTTTCTGCACAGTGTAGAAGCAGCTATCTCATATCACTAGTACTGTCATTTCCTTTGATTTACACATGAATCATTAATCTTTATAACTCCAAATAACCTGAATTGACACAACTATTCTGCTTCATAGCCGTCACATACACAAAAAGATGCCGTAGATTACTCATCGAACTTATAGAAAGGGCTGCCACTATAAGGGCATTGACTAAGCATCTTAAACGTTGTAGGGTTGTTGAATTATTCTTCGACAGTGGAAATTCTGAATGTTATTGCTGTCTGTTCCAAACAACTTGCATATATGCATATGTACTAACAATTCTTTAAAATGTCTCAATTTTATATATTTCCAGGAAAATTCTAAGCTCAAGTTATAATAAAACGTAATCCTCATTAATAATTTGATATCCCAATGGATTTCTTCTTTCCGCTGGCTGCCATCGAAAAATCAGATACCTGTTGTGAATAATTTACTTCCAAGTAAAGCTGTCTTGCACACAAGCAGCTTGATACGCGTCTACATTTGCTCAATGGATGCACTGTTTGATGGTTGATATTTTTCTGCAAATTACATCGCTTTAATAATATCACCGATACATGATTCACTATACTATGTTGCCAGTAACGCTTACTTAAATGGTCTTTTAAAGTATTCTATTTGTAATAGTAACGCATCTTGTTTTCACCTTACTCTTCAGAATTCAAGGAAGCCTTCTCTCTCTTCGACAAAGATGGCGATGGTACCATAACAACTAAGGAACTGGGAACCGTCATGAGGTCATTAGGCCAAAACCCAACAGAAGCTGAACTCCAAGATATGATCAACGAAGTTGATGTCGATGGTACGTTGTATTATGCAAATGATCATCTTTGTGCATTTGTTGCAAACGTATATTTTCAATATTTTACATGTTTATTTGATTCTATTTTACGGTGTTGACGTCACCGTCATATAAATATCAGCTTTCAAAGGACGACTTGCTGATCCCGCTATTACAGTGTTTAACTGATATTTGGAATTCAATATGCTATATACTCATATACATTAGTAATATCGGATTGGCTCATGACATTTCATTCCGAATTGTTATATTATTAACTTGTTTTTATTTGTGGTATTAGCCGCGGGGTAGTCTAACATTAGGTATTTCTGCGTACTATCCATAGTTGGGCATATGTGAACCTTGGTACAAACACTTATGTGAATTATATCTAAATTGAAGTGAGCATAAAATAGTCAGAAAGTTTAGGAATCAGAATAAAATACAAATCGTACTTAATTATAATCACAGCCATGTAATTAGATGTAGAGGAATACTGTCATTGAAAATAATTACCATGCGCGCATAATTAACGAAAGGGGTGCATTTTAATATATATTTGTCACACCGAACTTTTTCACTTTATTGTGTTCACATGTATGGGAATATTAGTGTTGGTTATATGCTATGTAGGTTGTAGCTTAGTCTATTGGCATAGCGCACTTGAGATTAAAATCGTGCACCATCTGTCACGATAAATCCTGTTATCACCGTGGTTGCTATAGTTACCGTATGCTGTAAGTAATCGTTCACAATCTAGGCTATACTACAATCGTACCCATGGTAACAAATGGGACCAGAAACCCAAGCATTTCATTTTGTCTGATGATGTAATTGGTCTATTAATTAACTATAATAATTTATGACCGCTGACTAAATATACATCCATGATAACTCTGGTCTAACACCCTGTCACATATAATGTTATCATTGGTTATAAGTTGTTAAGCTTGTGGGGATGTACATGCGTCGAATCTAGTGTTGTAATGTTCAACCAATTGATCACCTTTGTTTATAATGATTATGACTGCAAACGCTTCTGTTAATTATCAGGCAATGGCACCATCGACTTCCCCGAATTTTTAACAATGATGGCCAAGAAAATGAAGGAAACAGACAGCGAAGAAGAGATTCGAGAAGCATTCCGTGTATTTGACAAGGATGGCAACGGATTCATCAGCGCTGCTGAACTTCGTCATGTCATGACAAACCTTGGCGAAAAATTAACTGACGAGGAAGTTGATGAAATGATTCGAGAAGCCGACATGGATGGCGATGGACAAGTTAATTATGAAGGTAAATTACATGATCAAATTATCGTTGCATATTCGACACGAGTAAAACAATATTAGTTAACTACTTTTATAAGGGCAGCCCAAACTGTCCTGTGGCTGGAAAATCAACAGGTGTGATGAGTAAAGCGCCCTCTGTGGCAAATATTATGTCTTCACCACACAAATGCTTTTATTGTTAATGATTGTTTTTGTTTATATTACAGAGTTTGTCAAGATGATGACATCTAAGTAAATGGCGCATAGAATAATTTTCTTATATTAATTGTTAAAGATGTGTACTAGTCGCTACTCTATTTATAATTTCATGGCATATCTGCATAATCAATTATGAATGATGTCGAAGATTTGTGCTACGAATGCCGGGAATTACGCGACTATCACGTAATAACGTACACATAAATTACTGATTACCTTCTCAATATCATCTTTATCTGTACGTTTCGTTATGATTTTAATTCTGCTCAACAATAAATTCAAATTTTCTAATATACTGTCCAGACTTGCCTTTCTTCCTGTTTATTACAATACTGAATTCGTATGACAACGAGTGTTAATATTTACAGGCAGTCATCGGTAGAGTTGTCATCAGATCACGGGATTCATAAAACACGCATTATCTCTGAACCGTTTCATGCCCACGCCATTGTACTTTAACTATCGCTGTACGCAAACCTCAATACATACGATTGTTGTCGTTGAGGGCTCCTTTTCTAGGATAGCTTCTCAATATTTTCAGTAAATGAATTACATACGCTGTGATAATTGAATTGTCGTTCTTATACCTACTAGGTTACCCGGGATCATATTGGTTCTCCATTTGGGAATAGAAGCATGTTCACTTCGATATACACACAGCACGATATTTCGGTCTAATAGTCGTTGGTAGCAGAGCGGTGACCAAAGCCACCGCCACAAACTCTATTAATTCCAATCCCTGCAAAAACATATAACTTATACATTCTAGGAGATACTGGCAAAAAATCCGCTCTCTAAAGTTTCATTAGCCAATCACATGGTAATAGTATTCAAACATTAAGCCAATCACAGACACTTCCGTTGACATGATTAATAATACATGATGTCACTTCTTGGGTTGGTTTGTATTCAATCAAACCAAACCTGGTTTCCGAATTCCATATGACAAACTTACAGATATAAATGATGGCCAGTTACTCGTTTATCATATAAGTTTATGTTCTAAAAAATATATGTCGTTAGTTAGAATATAGAGCAGCTTTTTCATAAATAACTTGCTGAGAAGAACCTCAACAAAATTGTCCACAGCCCTATGGTCGAGATCAATCATTCACGAAACCAATATATAATTTATATATTCCTTATAGCAGATAAAACATTAACGTTCGGGGAAAATTTCACTATTCTATCTGTTGCGGTTGAACTGTCTTATAAGATAATTCAAGGCAATATGTGGAAGCAGTAAGCTGGAACATTATACCTTGAAAATTCAAGATAGATTTTTTTCTTTTTTAAGAATGATTTTCATTTGTTATTTTGCTGGTGATAGCTAATGCCCATTAGCCGCAGTTCCTGTAACGCTTGAAAGATTTCTGAGCTGTCCCTTTTCAAATAAAAAAATGTGTATCGAACCATAAATGGGTTCATGACTTATTTCATGCTACTTTTATTATACATTTATCATATGTTATACGATTGGTTCAGCAAACTTGAACAAATTGTCGGGGATATTATACGGCTGGTTCCGCCGGGGGTAAGCTGTGTTTACCAAATTCTCTGTTACTCAAGTCATATACTAGATCACTCAGATCCAATCCTCTAATGGAGTCATGATCACAGAAAATAAAATGGAATGGTAAGAATTCATTAGACTAAGAAGTCATTTGGTGGAGATATTTAACTGGGCTACAGAGGGCCGGCAGGGACTCATAAAGCAGTGAAAAAAGACCAACCTGCCTATTTACTGCTAATTATGATCACATTTATCTTCCGGGAAATGGTCTGAACGGCGCACAAGTTTTCGGTCCACTCTAAAATATGGCGGGTGTAAGGTATGTACATAGCAACATAATGATAGATTCATATGTAACAGTACATATATTTATTTGTATAGCATTAGTTGACAACGACGCACGTTCATTTCCACTCATTTATAAAAGAAAAGCATAAATGGTTAAAATCTGCCTGTAAAGTTGTGTGCAAATTAGCCATAACAAATATTTAAACTGTTTATACTTTTAAGTTAGTGGTTATGGGGTGCCGTTAATATATATATATATATATATATCGGCTCACATTGGTTATCTCCATGCTGCAGTAAGTGCACCAGCCTATTTAAAGACATCGGCTCACATTGGTTATCTCCATACTGCAGTTAGTGCAGCAGGCTATTTAAAGACATCGGCTCACATTGGTTATCTCCATGCTGCGGTTAGTGCAGCAGGCTATTTAAAGACATCGGCTCACATTGGTTATCTCCATGCTACAGTTAGTGCACCAGGCTAATTGAAGACATCGGCTCACATTGGTTATCTCCATGCTACAGTTAGTGCACCAGGCTAATTGAAGACATCGGCTCACATTGGTTATCTCCATGCTACAGTTAGTGCAGCAGGCTATTTAAAGACATCGGCTCACATTGGCTATCTCCATGCTACAGTTAGTGCACAAGGCTAATTGAAGACATCGGCTCACATTGGTTATCTCCATGCTACAGTTAGTGCACCAGGCTAATTGAAGACATCGGCTCACATTGGTTATCTCCATGCTACAGTTAGTGCACCAGGCTAATTGAAGACATCGGCTCACATTGGTTATCTCCATGCTACAGTTAGTGCACCAGGCTAATTGAAGACATCGGCTCACATTGGTTATCTCCATGCTACAGTTAGTGCAGCAGGCTATTTAAAGACATCGGCTCACATTGGTTAGCTCCATGCTACAGTTAGTGCACCAGGCTAATTGAAGACATCGGCTCACATTGGTTATCTCCATGCTACAGTTATTGCACCAGGCTAATTGAAGACATCGGCTCACATTGGTTATTTCCATACTGTAGTTAGTGCACCAGGCTATTTAAAGACATCGGCTCACATTGGTTATCTCTAGACTGTAGTTAGTGCACCAGGCTAATTGAAGACATCGGCTCACATTGGTTATTTCCATACTGCAGTTAGTGCACCAGGCTATTTAAAAATATCGGCACACATTGGTTATCTCCATGCTGCAGTTAGTGCACCAGGCTATTGAGAGACATCGGCTCAATTGGTCATCTCCATACTGCAGTTAGAGCACTAGAGTATTTAAAAAAATCGGCTCACATTGATTATCGACATACTGCAGTTAGTGCACTAGGTTATTTAAATATATCGGCTCACATTGGTTATATCCAGACTGCAGTTAATGCACCAGGCTATTTAAAGGCATCGGCTCACATTGGTTATCTCCATACAGCAGTTAGTGAACCAGGCTATTTAAAGACCTCGGATCACATTGGTTGTATTCATACTGCAGTTAGTTCACCGGGATATTTAAAGACCTCGGTTCACATTGGTTATCTTAATACTGCAGTAAGTGGTCCAGGCTATTTAAAGACATCGGCTAACATTGGTTATCTCCATGCTGCAGTAAGTGCAACAGGCTATTTAAAGACATCGGCTCACATTGGTTATCTCCATACTGCAGTTAGTGCACCAGGCTATTTAAAAAAATTGGCTCACACTGGTTATCGCCATACTG